CTGTTTGAGTAAATAGCTAAAGATTTTTGACAATAAGCCCCCCAATTGGCATAATTAAATGCCTTAGTAGACCTAGGTCTATCTCATTTTAACTAGACTTTCTTCACATGCAATATCTATAGGAAGGGTAGGAATGATAATTTCCAGGCTTAAGGCAATTAAGATCTAGATAGGTATGTTGATCACTGTGCCAGTGTGGTACCTGAATTTCAATGGTTCTTCTTCCTCCTCTATGTTTACTTCCTAAATATATGCATGAACAATTCCATTTTGCTGGATAGCTCTCCCAGTTCCTTTCTGCCAGCATGACAAGACTTCCTTTTCCATAATTATCTGCTCATAACCTCAAACTTTGTATTGCACACCATCCTATTATTGTTGCTGAAGTCCCAGTGTTGCCTAATTCTGTCTATAATTTGTCTGCACTGATACTACCTTCCAACTGAATGCTTTTAATCCATACCAGTACTATACTTGGAGTTTATATTTTCAAAATCACTCTGAAGTCTGAGGCATGTAGTGACAGGACAAGGGGGAATGGCTTCAATTTGAAAGAGTGTAGGTGTAGAATAGATATTAGGAGAAAGATTTTTACTGTGATAGTGTTGAGACACTGGCACAGATTGTCCAGAAAAGTCATGGCTGTCCCATCCTTGAAAGTGTTTAAGCCCAGCTTAGATGGGGTCTGAACAACCTGATCTAGAGAAAGGTGTTCCTGACCACGACAGAGGTTTTGGAACTAGGTGATTTTAAAGATTCCTTCAAACCCAGACCATTCTCTGATTCTATAATGTTCCACAATCTATTTAAAACTTCATTACTCTATTTGCTGAGTTTGACTATTAATTATCAGGTCTTTATGTGGGGTCTTAAAGTGTTTTTTTAAAAAAAAATCTAATTAGTAGGCCACATTTATTTATTTATTTTACTTATTAAAATGTCTTGGAAAATTTACAGCATTCAAACATTTTTATTTCATTCTTTCTCCTAAATAAATTCTCTGGGTGTTTTGGTGTTTTGGGGTTTTTTTTGTTTGTTTTGATTTTTGCGGGTCTTTTTTTTTTTTGGTCTTTCTTTGTTTTGTTGGGTATTTTTTTTTCTTTTTCCTTTTTTGGTTTGGTTTGGTTTGACTTGGTTGGTTGGAATTTTTTTGGGTTTTTTGTTGTTGTCAGTTTGGTTTGGTTTTTATTTCTTTCTATCCATTTTATCCTCATATTTCTCATTCCATGTCTGTTTTCTCTCTAGATTTACCTGATAGATGTCAAAGATATTTACACTGAGAAATGAAAAAGACAACTTCCTAAGTTCAGCACCTGACATCCAAATTTATTATTGAATTTGTTATTTATTATTAAAAATGTATTATAAAATTGAATGAGCAGAGCACATAAGTAGGAATTACCCAGGGGAAGGCATAAGTAATTTTGTGACAGGTTACATGTACCTAATGCAGCTATTCACTTTTTTATTCATGAAAAACTGTGTGGATTCTACATTAAGTGTTGAATACCTTGATGGCCTTGACTATTTTTGCAATTGAAGGCATCTTCAAATATATTTACCCATATGTCATGTGGACCTGTACCCATTTACAAATGATTAAAATTAAACATGGAATGTCAACCCTCATTACAAAACTGTGCCATATTTTATTTTAAAAAGCAGCTTGAGAGATGCTTAATAATTTTATTTATTAATTATGAAACAAAATCTGAGAGAATGGATGTTGAGAGAGGCTAGCTATGCCCTGTACAGCAAGAATGCTAGCATAAAATAACAGCCAGTATACAGAATATTATTTTCAGTGGTGTAGGAGGTGTAGGACAGTGTTATGGTAAACCTCAGTTCTGCAGTGTTTCATCAGAAATACAGAAACATGACTCTCAAAATCTGCCTAAACCTTACTTTTTCTTCCTTTAATCCTAGAACTGTAAACAATACATTAATGAAGAATTTTCATGGTTTTTACTACAAAATTACAAACAACTTTTAAGCTTCTGATGATAAATGTACTGTGTCCCTTGCTGTCAATTTTGAGGTAACTCACAAGGAATATTTTCATGTGCATGTTACTAGGAGTGTTGGACTTTGTAAGCTTGTGAAGAATTCAATCAGCAAATACCATGAGAGCTCAATTACTGGTTGCTATCTTCTACCAACATACCTGAGAAATAAATAAATGCATGGCCGTCCATCTGCCCATGTTAAAACAATCTGCTTATATTTCTTCTGCTTCTGTTGTGCCTGAATAGTCCAACAGTCCTCTACTTCAATCATTTCAAATTCACCTCTAATGAAAACTCCTACAAATCTCACTTTATCAGCCATTTAATGGGTTTATCACCCTCTTATACTGTTTTCTCAAGAGTTATCTTTGCATCACATATAGTATTTTGTGGTGTAATTCATTATAGCATTTTAGAAGCAACATATAATTTATCCATTTTTAAAAGCTGTATAATATTTATTAGGAAATATCTCTTCCTAATGTTTTCATCAGGACAAAATTTTTAGCTAACACAATCAGCACTTGGGATTTGGAAGCATGGATTTTAATATGATGAAGTTGGAAAGCAGAAAGAGTAAGAAGGAGAAAGAAGTAGCAACTAAGTTCTTTGTTATGCCAAAGAATTCCCCTCACTGTTCAGTGCTCCTAAATTTAAAATTAGAAGTGTTTCACTGCACCTGAATTACTTTGGCTCAGATAAGTAATTCCAATAGATCAGCTTTAGTGATAATCTTCTAACTTTAAATTTAGACTCACTGAAATGTCTGGTTCCTTCAGAACATAATTTTCCAGGTTGAAGACATTGTCCTGTGGAGCTGCAGCTAGCATTAAGGGGAGAGGGAGATTAGTGATATTATACAGTATATTCAGTTACTCAAACCTTGAGTCATTTTTCATTTTCATTTCAAATGTTTATATACAAAGTTTCATTTTAGGGAATGTGTCATATCACAGTTATTAATGGGAAAAGTGACTGAAAGTTCAAAAAGCTTTACACAAGCAAAGAGATAATGGAGGCAGGCAAATACAAAATTGCAAGTGAAGAGAGGCTAGCAAAAAACTCATGATCAAGGCTAAGGAAGAGCCACAGAGCATAAAAACTCATATAATGAAATAAGTTTTAAAAGATTTTTAAACATCCACCTTCTTGAGATGAAGTTAATGAATGTGATATGAGAAGCTAGAAAGGTATCACATTTTATGCTTTGCAGGCACATAATAAACTTTGGGATTATAGATAAAAGATGCTAAGTTCTGCCAAAACTTGAGTCACTTTTAACTACTTGAAAATAATCTGATTATATCTAAGAAATTCAAAAGCAACTAAGGGACTTAAAGGAGTAAGTGTGGATTTGCTTCACCTAATTTTTACTCAAACCTCATTCTAGGCAGACTTAAAGGTTGGAAAACTCCTAAACTAAGCTAGATGTTCTGAAAGCTGCTGTCCAGTCTACATGAACAATCTAGATTCCTTCCATTGTGAACATAGACAGACACTCCAGAACAGTAATATTGGCCAGTTCTGTTTTTCCAATAATGTCATTCATACACTTTCTCTGTGAATGATTTGTGCTATTCTTAGTGGTAACATTTCATAACCTTTATTCAAAATACAAATATTTACATAAGGTACAGTGCATCAGAAAATAAATACAAGGTTCTTTAAGTCTGTACCCACCTCAAAACCCTTTATCTCCTGGTCAGTCCTGTTATTCCCAGAAAAGGATTGGGTATTCGTGTTATACAAATCTATCTTCTTTTTTGAAGAGCTCTCTCTACTGTCTTCTGTGTAGAAAAAAGCAAAATTTCAAGTCTAAAGGCTTGTCCCATTGGAACTACTCTTTTCCATAGAGATGGCAAACGAAACATCAGTTCATTAAATTGGTGTTTAGTTGTATTTGTCTTATGTATCATTTCCACTCCATTTGTCTGTCAGTTTTGCATGAACTGAAATCTTAGCTAATCTAAAACCAGAATACATTTCTATATTTTTCCTCAGGGGTATGTAATTTCAAAAAGTATTAGTAGACTTAGTTGACATCTTAAAACACCCCAGGATACTACAGTACCCTTGGGTGAAAAGGAAAAGGAGTATTTTATGGAAAAAAAAATGTATGGCGATAGGAAGAAAATCAGCAACAAACCAACACAAAACAACCAAACAAAAACCCAAACAAACAAAAACCACAAACAAAAAATCCCAAAAAGATGAACAAAAAAAAAAAAAAAAAAGGAAGACAAAAAGAAACAAATTATGGAAGTAGAAGAAAGACAGAAAGATTACTACAAATGTGCTGACCTCTGTGGGATAGGCTGTACTTCAATCAGTAGCAAAACCTTTTCAGATAATAGATGTAGCCCTCTCTGTTGAGACATTTAAAAAGGGATTGATATGAGGCACTATGTGGAAAAGTGCAGACTATGATGGTCTTCCTTCAAAACAAATAAGCAAGCCAGCTTTATATGAGCCAGGTTTGAGTTTCCTGGGTTGTGGAGTATGTACACATTACTGTACACAAAAGATGCTTAGGGTTGGGAGACAGTACTGAAGAGACAATTAGAGTTGAAAAGTCAGTGTAATTCTGCTTGTAACCAATTCCAGAAATGGGACTTCAACAGATGAATGTATTTGGTTTGGGAAGAAGAGAAAAGAGTAAAATTTTCAGAAAGGAATGTGGAAAATAAGTATCCTTTAAAAAAGAGTAAGCCAAGCTTCAAATGCCTAAATTGGATCTAAATCGCTAGAAAATTTTTGTAAAAATTTGTGCTTTTTTGTATCAGAGGTTGTTTGCTTATTTGTTTGTTCATTAGCATATAACTGTTTTCATAAAAAGAGCCGCAACATGCACAGTCTGTGCTGAACTTTGTGTGGAAAAAAAGGATGTCAGTTCAACCCACACACCAGAAATAGCAGAACAGAAGTCAGACAGTGGGGAAAAAAAAACAGAGAAAAGCAAAAAACTACATGGAAATATTCAGGCAATGTTATGTAAACCATAATTTGAAGGTGCAAAACAGAAATTTTCAGAATGTATAGTAAAAGCCTGAAGCACCTATGCTAACAGCATAAATGTTTGGGGACTCTTCTTTCGTTCATGAAGACAGAAAAAGAGGGAAAAAATGCCTAAAATGTGATTAAGCCTGTCAGAGTTGTGAACTGTCCTCTGGAGGATCTTGATGTGCTGGTGCTCCCTCATCCTATCCGGAATCAAACCAAGCGGGAGAGTGATTTTTCTTCATCAGTATCAGGAGACTGTTTTGGGATGAAGTAAATCACCTTCTTGGAATGCCATGGTCTTTGCATCAGCTAGAAAAGAAGGTGATTCAGACCAGTTTGAGCTTTGGCAATGATCCCTTAAACATCTGGATTGGCATTCCTAAAGTATATACTTTCAGTAACTAAATTTAGATGGAATGAACTTTAGCTCTAAGGTTCTGAACCTTTATTGCTGAAATCAGTAGGAGGTGTTTTACTGAGTCAGCTGAGTGTGTAAATGAGACACAAATGCTTCGTCAGGGACAATGCAATTGTCTTTCAAAGGTAGATAAAAGCAAAAGAGCAAAACAACAAAAAACACCTGAAACAGTCCAAAATTCAAGAGTAATAATAATCTGATAACAAAGATGAAACAATGTGAAGCCCTTATTTGATCACCTGGTCTACCAGATCAAAACCAAAATGTTTATTAATGAAAATAAGAAAGATGCAATCAAGGAAAGTTAAATTATTCCATTGTATATATTGTATCTTAGTTCCATTGTATCTCCCTAGATCCAATTTTGATGACTATTATGAGAAGGTTTTTCAATATATCTGGGCTTCTGCAATCTTCTAACAGTTCAGTTCCTCATCCCAGAAAAAATCAGGAGGTGAAAAGATGCATTTCTTCTCTATTTACAGATGTAGAATGTGAAATCTAAGAAATAGGACTTAAGGGGTTTAAGTTTGCTTTGAGGATATAGTCTCAAACATATTTTACTGAAAGCTATTGAAACTACAGCATATTTTTTTGAAATGGCAGAGTGGCACACATACTAGATAATATCTAGAGGTCCTTTCCAGCCTAACCAGTATATGATTCTGTGATTCCATTATTATTTGTCCATCATTAGAAAATTTATGGTACTATGGTTTTTAAAAATATTTTGATATACTACTGCACAATGTTGCAAATTACTTTTCTATTGCTCATGTGATTTACAGAACAAGTAAGACTAAACTGGGCATTAATAACTGGGTGTTAATTACTTTTTATATCTCATTACTTATGCTACCAATTAGAGAGTCACCTTCAGAAGTATTCTGCAACTGTCTGATGCTTCCAGTGGCTTTGCCCTCAAGAAGACGGCCAAAGAAGCTCAAATTCATTTTACAAGTAAATAGCTGATTAGAGGTTGTATTTCTGTCACTAATAACATGTTGCCTCCAACATTCAGTTTTATGTTCATGTTATTTTGCCTTTGAGTAAATATCTATAGAACTGCAACATTGAAAATACATCAATTGCCCTAGATAACTCTTTGTAAGCAACTCATGAGAAAATGGAGATACCAACAATGTTGTCCTAATTTTTTCCAAATTCATAAATTCAAGGGTGCACAGACATGAACAACAATTTCTCATTCCATATACTCAGCCAGATGCAACATTTTGGAAGAATCTGGTTTCCCCAGTTCTATTGCCCATCCTGACTCTGCTTTAGTTTCAATTTCATGTCATTTTTACTTTAACATGTAGTAAAGCATAACAGTATATCATACTCTAATGGATAAAATACTCCTTCCCTCCAAGCAGCTCTATAAAACTAAGTGACCCTGCTGAGCTGTGTCCACTCCTTTGCATAATATTTAGCTGTAAGGGGAAAGCAGATTTGAAAAGTAAGATTTGCTTTTAAGATATATAATGGTAACAAACTCCTCTGGAGCAGCAGTTAGAGAAGTTATGAAAATATTTCATAGATATCATTAACTGTCAATGACTTCATCCTGAAGCTATTAGCTAGTAATTTGTAATAGTAATAACAGTTTTGTCAGAAGCCATACTTAATTACCTATATAAACTTCAGTTCTCCTAAAATAAAATGTATATCACTCTAGCTAAAAATATATGATGTTCTTCATAAGTATTCTTAAGCTGACTCTGTTCAGTATCTTTCCTTATGAGCTTTTTTCCAGCAATATGACACTTTATGGTGATCTGATATTCAATAAGGACTGATATTGCTCTTCATAAGTTAAACCACTTTGAGACAAACTGACATTGCTAGCTAAAAGAAAACTGGCATTTCTTCATTAATCAAATAATGATGGATGGAAATATACTGAATGATCATTATTTCATCAAGAGCAAAGGCAAATCTTAATGGACATGAAATAAGCAAAGTGATTTTAGTGTCATTGCAGTCTTATAACTAAAGTTTCAAATTGAGAAGTAAGACATATATCTAAGCACTTAATCAACCCAGTGATAGAAGCTGTAACGATTTGAGGTTGTACCTATGCATTACTTATCTATTGTGCATAACAATGGCAATCCTTTCTTTGTAACATGCTTTGTTTTGAAGATTTTGCTTGCTTATGTTTCTTATGCCTTTTCTTTCATTCCACATTCAATATCTGTGTTCAACCTTGGTGATCATTCACCCCCAGAAAATCTCTACTAGAGACAACTGTAGTTTATCCAAATGATCAAATAAAATTCATAGGTATACCCTTGGGAAGATCAGCTAGTTGAGATCTTTATCAGCTGGTGAGATAAACATGTCTTTCTTCTTGCTCTTAGTTTCCATGATCTGTGTGCTCCAAGTGGTACCATACAATTGTGTGATCCATAATACTTCAAAAAGGAAAACACCATGCCTACTCTAAAAATTTCCCACATAGGATGCACAGTTAGAATCAGATATAGAATCATGTCCTTCCACTTCTGAGGAAAAAGCTCCAGTCATAATGGTATTCTGCAAAATGTGGCACTTGAAATACCATCTTCCTTTTTTTTTTTTTAGGAATTGCTCCTGCTCCATTTGGCATCACAGCAGGCTGGAACTAAAGTGAATGTATACTCCCCACATTGCTTCTTGTTCATTTTATTGCCTAAGTTTGATGGAAATGATAGACATCTGAAGCTATTCATAAATATATATATAAGCAAATACATACATTTGCCTTAGAAGGGTCCCACAGAATGAGATAGCTCATAAATATAGATACATAGATATGGCATTAAACTAATGCCTCAGGCACAGTATCTCATCCTTTGGAAGAAATTCCACAACACACTTGTTGAAATGACACACTGGTGCTGAACTGGATGCTCTGCAAAGCTTACTGTGCATGTAGAGCAACCCCCTTAAAATCCACATTTTTTCACTCTCTTGTTCCTGTCAATGAGCTACGAGTAATCAAATAGTGCTGTGTAAAATAATTAGCTTACACTTGAAAAATCATGGAAGGAATATGAAAAGCTGGAAGTCACATTCAATTCCACCAACATAACATAAGAACAAGGTAAGGAAGTAATTTGGTATGCTTGAAACAGGTTTGCAGATGATCTTGAAAATACAACAGATTTATCTTGTGCTTCTGTGGTGAAGAATTCATCTTCCAAATTATCCCTGTAAAAAAAAAGTGTAAACATTCGAAAGAATGAAAGAACTTTCTTATTTGTTTGGGATATTGAAAAAAGAAAACAAATTTGTTTTAAAAATGGGATTTAGTAAGCAACAGAAGTACTATCAGGGGTGGGGAGAAGTAGATTTATGATGATGCAATCAAAGCACTTTACAATTTGAAGGTTAAAAACAAGAAGCAATGATGATTAGAAGTAAAGGGACACAAAAACATTATAAAGGTCATCTGAAAACCTGAGACTGTTTCTCGTAGGTTTTTAAGTAAAAGATCACATACAACTAAAAATACCCTTTAACCTACCTTTTTAACCTTGTAAATATGAGGTGTAATTAAACAAGGTTAAGTGTGACAGGCCCTAGAATATGTAGCATGTAATAATAAAATCTTATAAAGAAAATAAAAACTGTAGCTTAATAGCCTCTAAATAGTTTGGTTAGGAGAACTGATCTGTAATTACAACTGCCAGGTCATGTTTGCTATATAAAAAAAGAAATAATTATGCAGGTTCCATAGGTGTTGCTGAGCACTGATGCCATTTAATGTGAGTTTAAAGCCTTGCAGACTTATTGAAATATATTTGGATATCAAAACTGTTTATTCACAGATTTTCAAATAATTTTAAGTATTACATGACCTCCCTATCTTGCAGACAGGGAGATGGCAATGTCTGTGAGGAAAGTTGGAGAGGTCAGCTCTGCAGTCCCAGCTGTGCAGTGCACAGTCCTAAGATGAATAGCCATGAGGAGCCCTGGAAACCACTTTGGTGCTCTCTGCTCCTATCTCTTTGAATGTCCCTCAGGTTTCCCTCTTGGGTATTCCTGTAGTCTCTCATATAATCATGCATTTTTTCTGAAGCCATTTCTACCCCTGAAGTCATGTCATCTGTATGTCTCCAAGAGCATCTTTCAGAACACTTTCTGTGCATCTTGCTAAAAGTGTCTTCCCATGTGGGGCCCCAGGAGTATCTCCCCCATGTGCCTGCCCCAAAATCCTACCTACATTTTTCCTCCAAAACCTCTTACTTCTTTTTCCAAGAACCTATTTTCTATGTATCTTCCTAAGTCCCCTTAAGACTCCTCCAACAGATGCTCTCCACATCTGCCCAAGAACCTTTCACCATGTCTCCCAAAAAATCATACTACCCATGTCTCTTGTCCCCTAATAGCTGCTTCTCTTGTGCAAATATCTGTGAGCTGGAGCTCCATAGGCTTCTCTATCTGGCTGCAGAAACAGCCTTCACCACCACTACCCCTCAGTCCTGCCAGCTACTCCCAGTACAAACCTGGGTGATAAAGCCACCAAACCTCAGCACATCGGCAAAGACAGAGCGAGAGAGAGGGGGAATGGTGCTGCATGGCTGCCCATAGCTTTGGTGCCACTGCACAGCCCCAGCCAGGGGAAAACACAATGCCAAGTGATCCATTCAGCACCCAGAGCTAAATAAAGCTGGACAGTTGTCACAGGGTGAGTTAAGGGTGTCTTTACAGTACAGTTGCAGCATATGCTGCAACTGATGTAGCTTTTGGAAGCACAGATTTTGCATGTCTCCATTCTGCCAGCGGACTCTTTATGTAAACCAAAACTTGTTTGAACTACATTCACTGCACAGTACTTCTTAGGTCTGTGTTTTACCAGGACAGAATAGTATCTATTTTGAAACAAATCCATAAATTCAAT